ACCCTCTCGCACTACAACAATTGGTAAAACAGCTGTCTGCCCTTCATAGCGCGCGTTCACAGTGCACTCTCCCACGACATGCATTTTCTGGCCCGTGTATGTTTTCAAAACTATAACACTGGGCTCACATTTCACATGCGACAGTTTAGCTTTGTACACACTTTCTGGTACAATAGTCACCGCGGCTCCCGTGTCTACCTGCATTGGTAGATCCTGACCTTCCACATTCATGGTTACTATGTAACCTTTCTTAGCCACTGAGTTCACTGTGCAATTGTACAACGTGTTCTCGTCGTCCTCAGACGACTCAGATACGCGGTGCGCTTTTATTTTATTTTTATTTTTTATTTAGGAATACTGCAGGCCAATTGCGGCCCAAGCAGGATTGGGGGTTACAAGTCAAGTAAAAAAAGAAAAAACGCAACACCAGGTAATCCGTAAAATGGGAGAGGGGAACAGGTGAAAAGTATGCAAAAATTGTAATAAAGCACATGTAGTAGCTCACAACAAAGTTGGGAGGAGTGGCGGTAGTGGGGAACAGGAAAATAAAACACAATGCAAAAAGTTACACATCAAACAAACGCTCAATCGACTCCAAAACATTGTCAGATATAAATATGTGATGAGGTAGGTTGTTCCATTCCGTTATGGTTCTGGGAAAGAAGGAGTATTTAAATGCATTTGTTCGAGCGAATACTGGAGTTATTTTATGCGGATGGTCATGCCTTGTGTGCCTAGTCGAGGATGGGTGAAGAAAGGACGACGATTCAAGCCGGAGTTTTTTAAACCAGAGTTGATAAAGAAATTTTAGTCTAGCTAGCTTCCTTCGTGATTCAAGAGAGATGATGTTGTTACTTTGAATTAAGGCAGCAGGTAAGTCATGCGGGTGGTAGCGATTAAATATAAAACGAGCTGCTTGCTTTTGAACATCTTCCAGTATCTTGATATATTTTTTGTGAATGGATCCCAGACTGTACAGGCGTATTCTAACTTCGTTTTTATCAATGTGTTATAGGCTAAAAGTTTCAGATGAGAAGGCACGTGCTTAAGCTTGTGCCTTATCATACCTAGTTTTCGACGGGCAGCTGCACAAACGTGTTCAATGTGTGAGGACCAAGATAAGTTGCTAGAAATTGTAATACCAAGATATTTAAAGCTCATCGTCCGAGAGATGTAGTTATCACCAATAAAGTATTCATACTGATGAGAGGACTTTTTGTTAGTGATGCGCATGTACAAGGACTTTTCTTGGTTAAGCTTCATCTCCCAACGATCGCACCAGCTAGAAACTGCATTAAGACTTTCGTTCAGAACAACTTGGTCCCTAGTAGAGTTAATATCCTTGAACAATAGACAGTCGTCCGCAAATAAACGAATACTCACGCTTTTATCTATACAAAAAGTGAGGTCATTAATAAAAATTGAAAAAAGAAGAGGGCCAAGGACACTCCCTTGCGGAACACCCGAAATTACAGGAAGAGGATCAGAATGGTGACCGACTACATCGACGAATTGTTTTCGCATTTGAAGATAAGCTGAAATCCATTGAACAACTGTGCTGGGAAGGCCAATCTCATTTAGTTTGTATATAAGACCGGAATGAGGAACTCTGTCGAAGGCTTTGCTAAAATCAAGGAAGATGACGTCGACTTGACCAGGCCTATCTACTATAGAAGCAAAAGAATGAATAGTTGAAATGAGCTGAGTAGTAGTAGAAAGTCCCTTTCGGAACCCATGCTGAAAAGGCGAGATTATTTCATGTTTATCAAGGAAACCATTGATGTAATTAGAAATTATATGTTCCAGTAGTTTGCACGAAGAGCTGGTAAGTGAAATTGGGCGATAATTCGTTAACATCGTACGGTCTCCTTTTTTAAAAACGGGTACAACCCGAGCAATTCGCCAATCTGAGGGAACAACGCCGCATGAAAATGACATCTGGAAGATAACAACAAGGAATCTAGAAATCCACTCAGCGTAACGACGAAGAAATGCATTTGGTATATCATCAGGACCATTTGACGATTTAGGTTTGAGGTTAAGTAGCATAGAAAAGATACCTTCAAACGTGATGAACTCTGAGCTTATCTCAGCTTCTTCGTTAAAGGAGGAATGTCTAGTGTAAGACTTCGAGAACACTGACTGAAAGAAAAGATTAAACTCCGTAGCTATTTGTTGTTTGTCGTGAACCAACATTTCCCCAATTTTGACATAACCGACAGTTTTTTGTTGATTTGAGCTGAGGTGCCGCCAAAACTTCGCTGGATCTGTCTTGAGGAATCGTGTGAGTGTATTGGAATGATAGAACTGCTTACTTGTGCGAATTTTAGCTGCCAGTGCTCGCTTTAGGCAGGGGAGGGAGGAACTGTGAACTGGACTTCTACGGTTTCTTTTTACTTTCCGTACTAGATGAATTATTTCGCGTGTCATCCAGGGGTTTTTGCGGCGCACATATTTACTTTTATTAGGAATAAAGTTTCGAAGACAAAAATGACAGATTGATTTAAATTTATTCCACAAATAATTAACGTCGTTCCCAGAAAATGTATCTAAGGATAACTCAAGGTAATCTAGAACAGATTCGTCATTCGCCCTAGAAAAGTCTTTAATAGTTTTGCGCTTCTGAGCCACAAAATCATCCGAGCTGCCCATGAGGCAGGAGAAAGAAACAAGCTTATGGTCGGACAAACCATCCTCCACTGATACCTGTACCTCAGACAGAGACCTACTATAAAGGACAATATCTAAAATGGACGATGAATCACCCTGGACGCGTGTGGGTACATTAACTGCTTGAGAAAGGTCACAGGCAAACGCATTGTCGAAAATGGTTTCATCAGAGGGTGAGGAGGATGATAAATTATGCCAATCAACGTTAGGTAAATTAAAATCACCAACCAATAGCATGCAGCTCTTGGAATACTTGAGTATATAATCATAAAGCCTAGCCAGGTATTCATTGCTTGATGAGGGTGAGCGATATACAGCGATCAAGATGAATGACTCCTTTCCGTAAGTAACACGAAGACACAGACTTTCATGATCAGTTATTTGATCTAGCACTACAGCAGATAGGCTGCTTTTTAAAATGACGGCTACACCGCCACCACGGGAGGGTCTATCTCTTCGGTATATATTGAATGAACCAGCAACTATATCACGGTCATCGATTTCATCGCTTAGCCACGTCTCAGTTAATACTGTCACGTGAGGATCGTGACAAAGCATTACACTTTCAAGCTCCACAGTTTTGTTTATTATGCTTCTGGCATTAATGTTTAGAAGGCGCAAGTACTGTGGTGGAGAGTGCCGGTGATGTCACGTGCTTTCTGGTTGGTGGTGCGTAGATGAAATTTTAACCCGTGCGTTCTTGCTGTCATCCCATATAAACGTGTCGTCATCAATGCGAAGTTTATCGTTAACCATAAAGACACGCCTTCCATCAGCTTTATCACTCCTGGCACTCTCCCACAGCAGCCTACGCTTTCGAAGTGTGCAACGTGAATAGTCATTTTCAATAAAAATCTGCGTGCCTTTTAGTTTTTTAGCGTTCTTCAGAATAGCCTGCTTTTCGTTATAATCTTGGAGGTACAAAATGACCGGACGATTAGCTTTCTTTCGACCGAGTCGAAAGAAAGCTAATCGTTCCTCTTTGCTGGTTCGGCACATGTTTTGAAGATGACCTACTTTAGAACATTACTTGCACGCATAGGTCTTATACCAGCAGTTTTCCGCCGCATGCGCCTTGCCGCAACGGAAGCACTTTTGTTTCTTGCCTTCCTGTCTAGTTGAGCTTGTAGTCTTTGTGACGGGCCGTTCGCTTGTTTTCATGGCGTTGATTGACCCGCTCCTGGTTCCCTCTTGTATCGCGGCGGTTTGCCTTGCGGCCAATTCCCTGTCGAGGGGTATTTTGCAGGCGCTGTCAAACGTTAAAGCTTCTTCTGCGAACAGCGCTCTTTGCGTATCTTCGCTTCGAATCCCTGCTACCAGCCTGTCACGCAGGGCGTCCCTGAGGAATTCCCCGAAATTGCATTTTCGAGCAAGGTGGTTTAGTTCGACGATAAAGTCTTCCACGGACTCTTGTTCAAGTTGTACTCGCCGATTAAATTTGCACCTTTCCGCAATTACGGACGTTTTCGGACAGTAGTGGTTCTTCAGGAGAACCTTCATTTCCTCTTAAGTTTTTTCCCCTGGCAGCGCGGGGACTACCAAATTCTTCACTACTTCATACGCCTCCGCGCCAATTGCTGTCAAGAAAACTGGCAGCCTCTTTTCTGCAGCAATGTCATTCGCGGTCACGTAGTGTTCGAAACCTTCCACGTACGATTCAAAATTTTGGACCTTCGGGTCGTACTCATCCAGCTTTCCTAGCCGCGACATGTCCTGTCAGGTGAGCCAAGAAGGTACAGCTGCAACGGGAAAAGAGTGGCACAAGTCACCGATGACCGGAGCGGCAAAATCGCGACACGCGGCGCTATCGTTCCCGAGCGCGCCGATAGCGAGAGCGCAGTCACGTTGCACCTCTCAATGCGGGGGGGGGGGGGGTGGGGGGGGGGGGGTAGGTAGGTGGCAGAAATTTAAAGTATAAAATACCTTTCGAAGTGCGGGCTTTAGGATGGGCTGCTTTCTGCCGGCCACCCCCGCGTTGACACATGGAACGTGACTGGCACCCTCACTATCGGCGCGCTCGGGAACGATAGCGCCGCGTATCGCGATTTTGCCGCTCCGGTCGTCGGTCACTTGTGCTACTCTTTTTCCGTTGCAGCTGTACTTTTCAAGTTGGCTCCGGAATCCGCCCCTGTAGCTTGCCTCTCCTGGGTCAACGTTGCTGCTCGTCGACGGTGGGTGGGCCAGGGCCGGCGAGTCCTATCTTCGTCGCCAGTTGAAATGACGCAGGCAAGCGATCTCGATCCGGACGAAACCACAAAGAAAACATTTATTGCCAAGAACCGCTTGTTCTTATATTCCTTCGGGGTGACGTCACACGGGCCGTGTGCAACTTATCGACTAGATAAGAACGCTCGCGCTACGACAGAAAGGTACAGTTTCCACACGTCGTGTCCGCATGGAACACACCCTCCCACATATAGGGCAAGATGCCTGAAGAAACAGATCTGAGATGCGTTGCCTTTCATGTTTGCTTTCCCCCTGATATAATCCATCGAAATGATCTCGGGTTTGTTTTTTCTGTCACAAGGAGCATAGGAATGCTCTGAAACAGCAGCATTCAGATCGCTCAATGAAACCACGCCCGATATGATTAAAGAACAAAGCACATGTTTTAAAACAAAAGGAAGAACTCCCCCATGAATGTCATGCATGACGTCAGGAGGCAGGTGCTCAGTTGGCTGAAAGCCAGTAAATGTGAGAGGACATGCCTCCTTCACCCCATACAATGAGAGTGTGGACACACCATTAATCTTCATTCTGAGGTGGTACATCTGGCCTTCGGGAGTGCGTCTAATAAAATCGGTAGCCGAGTGTTTAGCAGAGATTTCATGACGCAAAGCAAGAGAGTACCTACAGATGCGGCCGTGACTAAAGCTGCATTTAAAGCACCCAATGCGATGACAAGAAAGATTATCGCCTGTTAAAAACAACACAGATCCCTTGACTGTTTCTCCGTGCACCACAATTCCTGTACTCTCCAAGTACAAAATGTCCTCAATCAATGGCTCAAACACCTTGTCTAGACCATGTTTAAGTGCAAGTTTTTCATTTACAAGCAAAGCTAAATGAATTTGCGAAAGACGAGAGTTTAATGCTGTGGGAGCATTCAGCACGGAATAATACACAGCAATCATTTTATGCTTTCCCCGTTTACTTGCAAGTGTGTCACACACTTCGAATTCATCTGAATAGAGTTGAATACAAATTTTTGATCTACACCCCTGAAAAAATGCATGGTCCTTAAATGCAGTCCCATCAAAAACATCCACAAGTTAGCCATTTTCTGCTTCAGAGAAATGAAATTGGCTCCAAATGTCAGGTCTTGCTAGAAAGTTCTGCAAGACATCACATACAGGAATGTAATGAAACAACTCAATTTTTCCTTGTGGTGTTAGACCAAGGACAATACTTCTAGGCTCTACTAAAGGCAAGAAATGCTTCCAGTAGCTCTCTGGACCGCACTTTGTCTCAAGCTTTGGCAACTCATCTACATGAAGAGACATGAGGGTGTTTGCATCCTCAGTTGGCAGAACAGGCAAAAGAAAATGCTCGGAAAGTGCTCGCATGTACATAATAACATCACTTGTAATCTCTTGGATAGTGGCTTCCGGCAATTTTCTTGTTTCTTTCCACTTTAGCAACAGCAGCGAGAACTGTTTCCTTAAAATCTGGCATATCGCATGTCAGCTCTTCACTGCCACCCAAACCTTGAATTTCACTAACAAGAACCTCTTCTGCAGGCATATCTTGAATGGAAGGCTCCACTAGTGGAGAAGGATCTGCACTGTTGAGGTCATGTGTTAGTGCAACTGGTGTGGACGAACTTGAGGAAGGAGAGTCTCTGGTGGCTGAGTTTTCGTTGAGCAAGTCTGGATGATTGCGTGATTCATGCTTTCGGTATGCATTGTACAAAGAATGGGTTTTCATACAACCTTGCAGTCCACAAACCCAATTCCGATCATGGCCATGTGCACTGTGGAAGTGCCGAAACAAGGTTTTCAGAGCTGTTGTTCTCCACTTGCATCGGTTACACCGAAAGTACCGGATAGCTGGCATCTGAAATGTAGAAGAAAAAGCAACAAATACAAGTGGCAGCAATAAGATTAAGGCAGGGAAATTTTGTTTTAATTTGCGTATTTATTGAAGCAGGCATTTCGAATGTAAATCTACAGCATAGGCGGAAGGGATCTTACCTCTTCAACTGGACCGCACAAAATCGGTTTCTTGATGTATCGTGCTGGGATTTAGTACAGAGATGTGGGTAGATGGTACAGTTCTTGGTGAAAATATCAACAAAAATAAGTGACCTTATTCAAACTAAAAAAAACAACTTGTTATCAACAATCTATGCCGGCCATTACCAGACGGTACTCGCCTATTTGAGGAGCTGCCGACAGGGGGCACAAATTGAGACACCCAAAATGGTACGGGACGGACAGGCGTCTCGGTCGTGTACAAATTGCTTAAATATTGATATTCAAATTTACTTTTATTCTCAAATACAAAAGTACTGCGTCTTGAAAAACGTGCATTGCAAAGACGGGCGCCGGGCCGAAGGAAACCTAATAAAAAGGTTTCAGGAGATTGCCTGGTAAACTTTCCTGCGCCCTGTGGGAACGGTGCTCCGCGCGCTGTCGACGCTTCTGCCCTCTGTGGGCCGCACCTCCAAGTAGGCGAGTACCAGCTGCTAACGGCTGCCGTAGGTTGCCGATAACAAGTTTTTGATGAAAGTAATCCCTGGAGAAGGGGAACAAAGGGACAAAGGACAAACACAAATCTCCAAACACAGCTAGGTGACTGGTGCGCGACCGAAAAAATCCGCCTGGTCCGGGTATCGAACCCGGGACCTCTCCATTACAGGTGGAGGTCCCGGGTTCGATACCCGGACCAGGCGGATTTTTTCGGTCGCGCACCAGTCACCTAGCTGTGTTTGGAGATCTGTGTTTGTCCTTTGTCCCTTTGTTCCCCTTCTCCAGGGATTACTTTCATCATTACTGTCCAGCTCGCTTGCACCTTTGCATTTAATTGCCATTTTAAACAAGTTTTTCTTTTTTTTTTCTTTTGAACGAGATATGTTACTTTGTTGATATTTTCACCATAAGAATTCACTATCTGCCCACACCTCTGTACTGAACCACAGCACGATATGTCGAGAATGTGATTTTAGCAGTTCATTTAAAGAGGCAAGATTCCTTCGTCAATGCTGTACAACTCGTTGAACCACTGAAGATTAAAGACAGATACAAAAGAAAAAAGTGCTGAGTGCCGGTGAGCAGGTGTATTTTAATATGATGATAAAAACAGACAACGGGAGAAAATAGAGAAAAACTCGAGGAGAAAAAAGGACAGACAACGATATAAACAACACTTGAATATCTAACATCATGTTAAATATTTCCATTTTGAGTTTCACACATTTCAATAATGGCTGTGATTTGTTATACACTTGGCATATCTTGCCAAGAAATGCTGTGATCTGTGTCCTTGTTGCATGCATTCTTCCCTATATGAGGTTATGTTGTGCTTAAGATTCACAAATTTGTGTGTAAGCTTAATCCTCTTTCGATGCACTAAAAAAGAAACAAGTTTGAAAAAAAAAAAAAAAAAAACTAGATATATGGTTCGGTATACTGTAAGCGACTTATTTTTTGCGGGCTCAATATTTCGCGATTTAGGTTAAAGCTGAAGTTTTGGAATAAATCGCGGGTTCTAATTTTCGCGACGTGGTGGGATCTCAATATAGATTGCAATGTGTTTGCATTTTACCGGAATTGTTCGCGAGACCTATTTTTCGCGAATTATAGGCGATTCGCGAAATGTACGTCGTTCACAAAATTCTTTCTTGTAAGACAGTTTATTTATTTATTTTTGAATCAGCAGCTCTATCTACAGATATTTCTTAAAGTAAATATTGTACTTGCCATAATACAAGATTAGCGAGAAAGCACCGACGTGCCTAAGACATCCCACGCTCCTAGTGCAATCAGAAGTTATTTTCTCTAAGCTTCGCACGACCTTCAGCAACAAGTTTATTTACAGTACACATAGCTGCACAGCACCCCTTTGCCAGTTCTGCGGGTTAGGCTTCCTTCCCGATCTAATAAAGCATGCTGGTATCGTTAAAAAAAGAAAAAAAAAACAGAGGACGGAAAAGCAAAATTGACAGCGTGCACAGTTATTGGCGTTGCGCGACGGCCGCTGCCGCTTCAGGGGCGCCCTGAGTAAAGAGGAAGAGGAGCAAACATACAAAGCGAGGGATCCTCTTCGGCGCGATAACCAGCGTAGGGATTATTTAACCCGCGACCACCGTTGCAGTTGCAATGCGGACGGAGACACGTGATTTCGGTGTCGGACAGGTTGAGAGCAGTGTTGCGGAATGGGCACCCCCATTGCATTTCAGTTCCATTCCGGGAATTAAAGTTTTCGATAGTTCAGTTCCTTTCAACTCCTAGGATTGGGGACACTGGGCCCATTCCCACTCCAGGAATGGCTGAATCGTTCCATTCCATTCCTCTAATTCCTAAACGTAAAAAATTGCACCTGACAGCTCTATTGTTTTTGCCGGTATAAGCAGCATAAAGCTGACATTACCAAACGAATAGACAATTGCAAAAAAAAATAAAATAAAATAAAATGCGAAATGCCTCAGAAAAGCACTGATTTAACAGCCGGAACCGGTGTGGCGATTGGGTGCGCCAGACCGACACTGCAAGCGCGCCTCCAAAAGAAGCGGACGAGGAAGACGAACCTCACAGGCGTTCAGCGGTGGCAGCAGCGCAGTTGTCGCAACACGCTAAGCCGGCGATTTCATCGTTACAGATACCTATATCAACTGGGTCCGCCACGATCGTCTGATACTGCCAGCGACACGTTGACATCTGCTATCAACAGCCGGAACCGGTGTGGCGATTGGGTGCGCCAGACCGACACTGCAAGCGCGCCTTCAAAAGAAGCGGACGAGGAAGATGAACCTCACAGGCGTTCAGCGGTGGCAGCAGCGCAGTTGTCGCAACACGCTAAGCCGGCGATATCATCGTTACAGGTTGGTGTAAATTATAACACAACCTCTCTAAAAGCTGTGCCTGCTGCTGCCGCTGCTGAACGACTGTTGTGTCTGTTGTCATGGTTGACGAGAGCCTTTGTCTTGCATGTCGCAAACCGTTGCCAGAGATTGGTGTCTACGCGGCATGTTCGAAATGCGGACACGGTTACCATTTCGCGCAGTGTGCGAACGTGGATGAAAGGACTTACAGGCCAAAGAGCTGGGAGTGTTCGGCATGCCGCACTGGAAAACACAATAAAGCTCATGACGTAGAGAAGGCCACGAAAGCGCAAGAAATTAACATCATGTCGCTTTTAACAGAAATCAACGGCAAACTTGCAGGCCTTGTCGGGATCACGGCAAAGGTTGACATGCTACTCAGCATGAAAGAAACCGTCTCTAGTATTGAGGAATGAGTTCAGCACCTGTCAGACCAGTACGATGAAGTCCTTAAGCAAATCAAGGAACAGAACAAAGAAGTAGCTGAAATAAAAGGAAGACTTGAAAAGGTTGAGAACGGGGGGGGGGGGGGGGGGGGGGGGGTCCAGAGATCGAACAACTCCGGCAAAGCATTAACAACTTGGAGCAGTATAGTCGGCGCCAGAATCTTCAGATACATGGCCTACCACTGAAAGATCACGAAAACCTTTTGCAAACCGTAAACGCACTCGCGACTGAACTTGAACTTCCAGAACTTACCGAAAGTGATATCGAGGGCTTGCACCGCCTGCCAGCACGCGTTGGCAAGATTCCCGCGGTGCTAATAAGATTTAACTCGCGAGCAACTCAAGAAAAATGGATCAACAAAAATATTAACTTGCGAGAACGTCAGTCCAGCATCCGGTTTTTTGAAAATCTCACGGCGGCAAACAAAAAATTGCTGTGGCTGGCAAAGGTAAAGGCAGAAGAACATGGCTATCAGTACACTTGGCAAAAGCATGGAAATGTGTTCGTTCGAAGGAGGGCGGGTGATCGAGCCATGAAAATTGAAAGTGAGAGCGACCTAGAAAAGATAAACTAGACACAAGATAGCCGTGTATAGTAGATACCACTTTACAGGATGACCGATACCACCACAATTTGTTCCTACTATGACTCAGCCTCTTTTAATCACCTCGTGGGGAATGCTTCCTTCAATAAAAGAGGACTATCTCTTTTCCACTTGAACGCGAGAAGCTTAAGAAACAAACAAGATGAACTAGAAATCTCTTTACACAACCTGAATGTCAA